GGGAGAAATTGGGGGAAAATGGGGGAAAAATGGGAAAAAATTGGGATAATGTGGGGGGGTAAAGGGTTAAAATGGGTCTGGGGGCTTCAAATGGGGCTGGGGGCTTCAGGGGGGGCGGCTTCGGGGGGTTGAGGGGAGAAATTGGGGTAAAAATGGAGTAAAAATAGAAAAAAAATGTGGTTAAAATGGGAGGAAAGGGGATTAGAATTGAAAGAGATGGGGATTTAAAGGGTTAAAATGGGTCTGGGGGTTTCAAATGGGTCTGGGGGCTTCGGGGTGTCGGCTTGGGGGGGTTGGAGGGGGGAAATTGGGGGAAAATGGGGTTAAAATGGGATTAAAATGGACAAAATGAGGATTAAAGGGGGTTAAGAGAGGAGTGGAAAGGGTTAAACAGGGTTAAAATGGGTCTGGGGGCTTCAAATGGGGCTGGGGGCTTCGGGGGGGCTGGGTTTGAGGGGGAGTTTTTGGGTGGAATTTTTGGGATTTCCGGGAATTTCAGGATTTCAGTAATTTGGGGAGGGGTCGAGGGCTCCTCCATAATTTGGGGAGGGGTCTCCCTGAATTTGGGGAGGGGTCCCCGATAATTTGGGAAGGGGCCCCCAATAATTTGGGGAGGGGTCTCAGCCCTTCCCTCATTGAGTCTCCATCTTGGATTGGGTTTGGGGCATTTTTTGGGTGGAATTTTTGGGATTCCCGGGAATTTCAGGATTTCAGTAATTTGGGGAGGGGTCAAGGGCTCCCCCATAATTTGGGGAGGGGTCTCCCCGAATTTGGGGAGGGGTCCGCAATACTTTGGGGAGGGGTCTCAGCCCTTCTCTCTTTAAGTCTTCATGTTGGATGGGATTTGGGGCATTTTTTGGGTGAAATTTTTGGGATTTTTGGGAATTTCGGGATTTGAATAATTTGGGGAGGGGTCTCCCTGAATTTGGGGAGGGGTCTCCCCGAATTTGGGGAGGGGTCCCAGCCCTTTCCCCCTCCAGTTTCAATCCTGGATGGGATTTGGGGCATTTTTTGGGTGGAATTTTTGGGATTTTGGGGAATTTCAGGATTTCAGTAATTTGGGGAGGGGTCGAGGGCTCCCCCATAATTTGGGGAGGGGTCTCCCTGAATTTGGGGAGGGGTCTCCCCGAATTTGGGGAGGGGTCTCAGCCCTTCTCTCTTTAAGTTTTCATGTTGGATGGGATTTGGGGCATTTTTTGGGTGGGATTTTTGCGATTTTTGGGAATTTCAGGATTTCAATAATTTGGGGAGGGGTCGAGGGCTCCCCCATAATTTGGGGAGGGGTCTCCCCGAATTTGGGGAGGGGTCCCAGCCCTTTCCCCCCCCCAGTGCGAGCTCTCCACGCTGGAAGGGATCAAGTCCTGCCTCTCCTTCTACCCCGGCGCCTGCGGCTCCATGCGGGTGAGACCCCCCCCAAAATCCCCAAATCCCCCCCGGGGGGCCCGGAGCCCCCTCCCCAATTTGGGGAGAATTTGGGGAGGGGTCCCGGCCCCGGGACCCCCCAAAACCTCCCCAAATTCCCCCCCCAGGGGAAGCTGGCGGCGCATTTCCTGTCGCGCATCGACAGCGAGAGCCCGCGGCTGCAGCAGGTGGGAGCCCAAATTTGGGGGGTTTTGGGGCTTTTTGGGGATTTTTGCGGATTTTGGGATTTTTTGGGGTTTTTTTGGGGGGTTTGGGGAGTT